ATGGGGCAGGTGATCAACTCGCGGGAGAAAACTTCTCCCCCCCCCTCCCCCCCCGTCGCTCTCAGTTGATCTAGAATCGATCTTGATGAGTTCTTCACGGGCTAATGCATCGATAACGAGCATCGACGATCTCGTCGTGGCCCGTCGTCTCCAGCTTCGATTATCGAATCGTCATCTTCGTGTTCCTCCTTTGGCATACCTCGAATCCGCAGGATCGAACGATCTCCCAGCGATTGGCTACGCCACCGAGCGTACTCGTATTTTATTAATATGTTACGTCGTATTCTCTCGGAGAATCTGCGATCTAGATGAAGATAGCCGCGGACAGGAGATCGCCCTTCCGTGGCAATTGGAATTTGAAATTCAAAATTCGCGCCGCGCGTTTCGCACGATAGGTCATCTGCCGTGTCACGAGTTACGATCGGTACGATTGCTTAGGTTAGGTGTCAGCTTTCGAATAAATTTCATCAGCAGTAGGTAGTTTCTACTCTCTAGTTTCGTTAACTGAATCTGAATTATAATTACATCTTTTATCCTCTGTCGCGATTTTAAAATTCGATAGGTTGCTGCATAGTTGTTGCCAGGGTTGTTCTTTTATTAGATTTCGGAATTTTATTTAGTCGGATGTACGGTGTTTTGAATGAAATATTCAGAGGAAGTGATTATCAATAATTTACTATAGATACATTCGTTATCATAAGTAAATTATTCCGAGATGTGTAACAAAATCCTGGTATCTAAAAATACGATGTATCCTCTCACCTGAAATCGTTTCTACCCATCACTATTCGATGTCGATGTTTGACTGTATTATATTCTTCGATTCCATTCATAAAAGTAAAAATTTTCGTAGATATTCACGGTTCAACTATTACAAATATTTCTAAAAGCCAATGACGATTCTTCCAATTCCCAAGAATCTTCTCCCCCCCCCCCCCCATAAAAAAACATACGTGCTTCACAGCTGCGTGCGCATCGAGACTTTCACTCTCGTTTCAAAGTTCCAGCGTCGAAATGCTCTGAAATTCTGCGTGACTTTCTCCCAGCGGCGTGCGTTTAGAATCCAGCGAGCGATCGCAACAAAGTGAAGGATCCCGAGGAGAAAATTCGCGATGGAAGGCGGAAGTGAAAACGGGCCGAAACAGAGGCGGCGACGGCCGCCGCTAATTATCGATCATTATGCGCGCCGTGGGCGGGTAATTGGGATTTATGTTCTCCGCGATAATCCACGCCGCTGAGAAGAGGGAGGGGGGAGGGGGGCGAACGAGGGCGGCGAAAGTCCGACTTAATACACCATGGGTTTCGTTTAATTGTTATTTACGCGAAGCGATCACGCTATCCTCGGGATTCAGAAAGGTGGCAGCGGCGCGGAACAAGTGGAACGAAGAGAGACAGACAGACAGACAGACTGTAACGCTAATGAGAAGAAGAAGAAGAAGAAGAAGAAGAAGAAGAAGAAAGGCGAAGAAGAGAGAAAAAGAGGGAAACTCTCGGCTGATTTACTGAACTAATTCGCGACAATTATCAAGTGGAAGATATAGTAGCGCGAATCACGCGCATCTGTAAATCTCTAGAATGCTCGCGCGGCAATGTGATTCGTACGCACGCACATGGAGAAAGTACGTTTTCGTGCGTACGTGTGACAGGAAACCGGGTGAATGTGGATTTTTTACCCTTTTTTTTTTTACGATGGGGGTTAGTTACGAGAAGAAATTATTTCGACGCACGTGTGCCGGATAGTCGGTCGGGTCTTTTTACCAGAACATTTCGCTTTTCAGTTGTTTCCGCGTTTCTTCGCGTTTGTATGCAGTAATGATTGTTATTTATTACAAGCAAAAAGAGACGAGAGTTGCTTGTGCGTGAAAGAAGATGACGAACGAAAAATATGACTTTGAGAATTAATTTTTAAATTTCGTGATATTTAACGATCGTTATACGAATGTGGTAGTGATTTAGACCTGAATAATGTTAATAAATAAATATTAAAATTATATACGAATAATAGCACGCATTTTGAATGGAACAGTCTTCCTCATACATTTCTTTAAGAAACAAGATTTATTATAATATATAGTAAATAATTATAATAATCTATTATACAATAAATATAATAATATATATAATTTATTTATAATAAATTATTACAATTATATAACTTCGATCTTTAGGCAAAAATTCCCGAAAGGATAATATTTCGTTGAAGTCGAGATACTGAGTTGAGGTCTTCGAGACCTCGAAGAAAATTCGAAAATTCCCAAGAAGAATATTGGAAGAGAACAGAGAGAACAACAATCGTTGGATGTGACAATTTCGAGCGTCTGCACCTTACACTTTTTTCCCCGGGTTACGCTTTTCCCCCGCTTGTCGTCGTGTCAGACGGAATGCCGGAAGTTTCGATGCCGGCTATTCCGCCGGCGCAAGAGCCACGACAACACCGAGCAATCCGCCGTGCAATAAAATCGGCGACAAGCAGTGAATTCGTGACACGACGCCCATAAAGGGATTTATGCGCACGTTCGAGAGGAACGAGTCAGGCCAGGTCGTCGGCTGCACGGCTACGACCGCGCTAGCAAGAAGAGGACGCGATACGCGAACGATAATGACAGCCGTGGCATCGTAGAATCTTGCAGAAGTTTCTATAAACAAAGCAAACGGATACGGACGACAATCACGATAAAAATCTGATAATGGCTTGAGCTAACTAGCTACCGATCACGATCACGATGCCTGCGATATTGGTGGAATATTGATTTTATCTCGATTGAAAGTTGCTTGTTTCGTTTGGTACGATTAACAGGAGTATGTACAAGTCGAGTATGGCTGCTACGGCGAAATATTGTTACGACGTTTTTATGGCTTCCAGAAGCATCCCCGAGGAATATTGTTTTCGTGATAAGTGACGCTGGATGTTGTTCGCGGTTGGGATTGCAGTGTTTTGCGCCCAAGTGTTGAAGGAATTACGATGTATGTACATAGGTTGGTGTGGTTTCTTTAATTTACGGGAGGCAGTTGCTTCATTCGCATCGTTGATACATTCTGGCGCTTCTCAGAGTTAATTTAATTTTTATTTTATTTTATTTGGCATAGTTACAATTTCGGTTGATTATGATTTCAAGAAAAAAAAAGAAAAGAAAATAAGTTTTCCTGGCGAGAAAAGTGTCAAATTCATGAATAATTCATAACAAGTCGTTTACTTCTCTGTTAAACATTACACACGAAGATAAAGTATTTCGTAGAAAATTTTCAACGAGAACTACCTTCTACGATGGAAAAATAAAATATCTAAAATCATTTATTTATACAATGGAAATTAAGGATTCCCGATTTTTCGCGTCGATCTCACGACAATTCGCAATGTGAAATCACCTGTTATTTGAAACAAACTCGAATGAAGAAATTCAATCAAATTCGACCGCAGACCTAACCTAACCAGCCACTGTTGTGCGCTCCATATTGGAGATACAAGCAACAGTAACAGAGGAAACAAACGCGAGAGAGCTACTGATATATCGCGCGGTAACAGAGGGAGTAACAGAGGGACGACATCACGTTTCGAAAATGAAGGAATCTCGATGGCTTTTTTCCTGCTTTTGTTCCGCGCATCGATTCCCGTCGAGCATTCGTGTCTCGACAACTATTTTACAAACCACCATTGTTGAAACGCTACTGCTGTGCTCCATACTCTCTGCGCAGATGTGTAAGTACGTGTGTAAGATCTGGTATCAAGAGGGATGACAAGAGAGAAAGAGCGAAAGAGCGAAGGCAAGAGAGTGAGAGGAAAAGGGACTGATGCAGCGTGCTCGAAGAATCAGAAAAGCCAAAGATCCCGAAGAGACAGGCTCAAAGGGCAGACACGGCAAAGAAATTGCATCGCACGCTAAATCTCGGACGTTGATGCAACCGCCTAATCAATCTTCAATCGGCACGATTGATTCTCTCCCCTTTCAACCGGCGACTACTTGATCTCGACGCCTCTCTTCGTCGACGACCTCCAAGCATCTTCACATCCCCCGCAAGTTGCACTCTCTCTCTCTCTCTCTTTGCTCTTAATACACGCGCGTGTAATGCTCGTCGACAATGACAGAAAGTAACGTGAGTGGTAAAGAATGCAAAGACAAATTCTTTTCTCTTTTTTTTTCTTAATGAAGGCTCGTTCCATAGTTTGTACAAGTCTGGTGTACTTTGTGAGATTTGATTTAGATCAGTTCTTCAAAACTTTTATATTCTCGAAAGAATTGTGATTTAGATAGATTTTCTGAAACTTTTATGTTCTTGGTAGGATTCTTTTTAAGACGATTCAGATAGACTTTTTAAAACATTTATATTCTTGGTAGGATTCTAATTTTAAGATGATTATAATATATATAATAGTATATATATATAATAGTATATGTAATAGTATACTAATATACTATTGTATATAATAGTATATATTATAGTCGCATATAAAATTTGATAAATATATATATACAAAAGTTAATATTCAGAAAGATAATGTTGGATGGCAAAGCTGCTCGAAATCTTCTGAATCCGGAAGTTTTTAGAGCAACTGTACGAAATCGAGCAATCAACCGAAATTTTAATCCTAAACGGTCCAATAAAATCGTTCGAGGATAGTAAATTGAAATTTCACGCGATTCAGTCTCTGAAGGCTATCGATATATCTTGCAAAAAAAAAAAAAAAAAAAGTAAAGAAAGAAAAACACAAAGAAAAATTGAAAAGTGGAAAGAGAAGTCACGGAGCACGATTCGACGTTGAAATGGTTCTGCGCCTGTTGGCCGTCGATCAGCGATCGAGCAAACATCGAGCGCTAATAAAACGCGTCGGACGCGTTGAATCCGATTACCGAGCTTAAAAATGCTCGTGTATCGCGTCGCCCTGCTTCGAAATTCATTTTAATCCCGTTACCGGCCACGGTGATTTACGAGCTCCCCATGTAAATTGCCTCCTCGTTCCCGGGCGTCTTATAGCAACGTAGAGAAAAATCGTGCAAACTCACCGGGCCGATTTCTCGCCCTCATAACCCTGCAGGCTCCGGTGTTCCTCCAAATAGTCGAAGAGGTTCTGCAACTCGGTGAGCTGTTCGTTCCTCGCAGCAGTCGCCTCCTTCACGCTCTGCGAAAAAGGGGAAAACCGATCATTAAAGCACGTGGTTACGATTCACAGGTGAACTGGTTGATTCGATGCAAAGATCGACAGGTTGCACGACTCGTCGTCTGAAAATGGAAACTGGACCGAACGTTTGTTGGCGAGGAGTTTTTAAGAAATCGAATATCTCGCTTGGAATAGAGGAACAAGAAGGCGTGGGAGAGAAAGGAATCGTTTGGAGAAACTACAAAAGTATTGTGTTGTTGGATTTCCTACCGTGATTTTATGTGTCTTTTCTCCCTTTTTAAAGAAAGATTGATACTTGGCAAATTAGTCGCTAGTTTTTGGAGAGTTTAGCAGTATTCGTAGAAATTTAGTAGAAATTTACTTTTCAAAATTTCTGAATGTTCGGTCTTGCGTTTTGCGATAGTGATCTTTTGTAATCTTCCGAAAATCAGGATGTGATAGAAGGTACTAATTAATAAGATGTTGAACGTATGTTAGGGAAGAGAATCAATCACAGAAATTTTTATTGAGTTTTTAGAATGAAACTTTTTATACATTTTTTTTCGTGTGTTAACAGCAACAAAACATGCTTCAATGAGTGTTTATTAATTAATTTAATTCGTCAGCCTAGAAAAGATGAATTAACTCGAATCCCTCCTAGACACGATTATTCTTCATCTACGTCACGTTTCCATTTGAAACAATCAAGGAACTTCCTCGTAAACCTCCAATTTCAATAAAGCAGAGAATTTCAAAGTCGAAGTGTGATCCACTGGCTAACAGTTTGAAAACTTCTCGATCGAAATCAATTCCCCGCAGGCTAGTTATCGAGTACTATCCTGCTGGTTTAAACGGATATTCAAATTACCCCGATCCTACGTCTTGTCCCATCATTTCCAAGTATCTTCACGTTTCATTTCCATCACTGTCTCCTCCTATTGCGATTTCTTGCACAAATTGTACGTAAAACGCAGAAAATAACCGGTAGCTTCCTATAAGAGTTCGCGTAAAGACAGCATAAATTTGCAGCGCGTCGCGACGATGGCACACATTATACACATATGCCATGCATAAAAATGGTATCCATGATACGCCGACGTGATTTACATAAATATAGTACTTCTCCCTTCCATTACGTCACTACGACGACATAAGGAATCTCTCTTTTCCCGACGAGCTCTCCGGAAGCCACAAGAGCGTGGAACGCAGAAGCAAGAAAGAAAGAAAGAAAAAAAGAAGAAAAGAAAAGAAAAGAAAAAAAAAAGGAAAAAAATCTACGCCAGAACTGTATCGTCAACGATAGAAATAAATTCAAGGATTCACGCGTAACGCATCGATGGAGCGTGTCCTTCGATCTCCATACATATATTTTTCTACATTTTTTCCATCTCGATCAACGTGATATTCTTTTTTTTCTTTTTCCTCGTCTCCAGTTCGATTTATCTCGCCGGGTAATTATACAATACATCTCCGTTATTACGCGCTCGCTAAGTCACGTAGCGTTTAATATCTGACTTTGATAAATTGGCGAATTTTATCCGCTTTTGATCTCGCGAATGTATTATTAATTTGTTTTTTCCCCCTCTTTTTTTTTTTTATTCTGGTTTACGAAGCTGTGTAGTGGGTATCGTTCTGGAAAATTACGAGACAAATCACGAAGAAGATAGGAAACAGAGATTTTCCTCTTATGTATATTTCATTTTTTTTTTCATGGCCAAATTTTTGTCTTGCGTCCTTGCAGGATGCTTTTCAAACTTTCATTGTGGAAATAAGTTGACAAGGGAAGAACTTGAAAGAAAAACGAATGCTTTTTATCGAAGGAAGAATCAACATTTCTTCAACATTTGATATGAGTATACACACGATAATGCGAAACAACGACGCATGAAATATACATGGTTGAAAGAAGAAAAATGTATTTTTTGACGTAGCAGTTGGTCTCTTATTATTAGTAAAAATACATTCGCTCGGCGTTCGACGAAAATAAATTTTTCGAAACTCTCGAGGCAACCACCTTAATTTCACCCGGTAGCAACAATACCGAAAAAAAATCACTTGGATAAAAAGATCGTTTGGTATAAAATGAAAGAAGGAGAGCAGAGAGCAGAGAGAGAGAGAGAGAGACAGATGGCACGGACGAAGTGTAGGAGGTTCGCGACAAAGCGGGGCAGGGGGTAGGAAAAAAATATCGAAGGTAGCGTCCCTCGAAAATAAAATCGATTTTCCGATAACTGGTTATTTGCTCGCACAAGTGGCTCGCTGACTGGGCGAGCACATCGGAAGCGGTTTTCGCGTGTAATATTATCGAGTTATCGGCGGCAGAGGAGGGCATTGATCGGCTGCCGAGGTGAGGGAGAGGCAAGGGGGACGGTTGGAAGAGACAGCCGGAGAGGGTGGAGTAGGTGGATGCGGAGGAACAGGGTGGATGAGTGGGTGGAGAGGGCTAGGCGAGCGTGCATTGCACGAGCACAATATATTCGCGTGATTATAATATGTCGGTGCTCGAGAGACCAATATCAACCTGAAGTCGGCTCAGCCAATGCTAATAATCCCTATTGTTGGTGCCTCCACTCGACTGCCTCTCGCGAACCGATACATCTTGTTTCGAAATTTCGAATTGCCTCGTCGTCGCCGCGTCCACCCACCGATCCTCTCTATCCCTTCCTGTCGCTCGGCGTGTCCTCCACTTTCCGCGCGGCGGAAATTCTTTTTCCCCCCGAACGCGGAACGCTTCGCGTCAAGGACGGTTGATGGAATTATTTGATGCCGGCGTTAGTGTTAAATACTTTTTTTAATATCTTTCTTTGAAACTGGCAATTTTGGGAGGGAAGAACGTTGAACTATCGAGGTCTTTGGAGTTATTTGGAGTTATTTTGTAATTATCGAAGATATCTTGAATTTTAATTTTGCTTTGACCTGACTGAAATTTCAAAAACTTTAATCATCACGAGAGACGAAAAGAACGAGAAAGGCTTACTCTTATAGTTGAAAAAATTCTCAACTACTTTAATAAAAAAAAAAAAAAAAAATAAAAGGAGCGAAACCAACTTCGATTACTCCTTTCTACCGGACCACTTGATCGAAGCATCGAGATAAAGTATTCAATAGGATAAAGAATAAAAATTCGAGATCTTAGAACTCAATTCACCCACGTAGTCATTAAATCGTTCTCGTAAGCGTTCTTTCAGCGTACCTAATCTCAGGTGTCGAGTAATCATTTATACGCTGATAAGACGTATTCGTGATAATCTAAACTTGGTTGAAATTAATATCAATACCAATAGCGACGTGTAGCAACGGAGCAAGGAACTGCAACGATTTTCTTACAATCGAACGCTGGAGTGATCGGTGGACGGAGATTACGATAAATCGGGCAATTTGTTTGTCACGCATTGTGGCACGTGGCGTTAAAAGACGGGCCATAATGGCGGTTGGACACAAACGACGAAAGAAACGAGACATGTCCTCGACGATTTTATCCCCGGCGTCGGCAGGCCAGGCCTCCTTTCACACGTCCCACGCGAAAGACGACGACGAAGCTCGATCTCTTTCAAAACAATTACGCATTCTTCAACGCCAGTTCTCCCACGTCGACATTATCGTCTTGCCGCAATGGCTCTCTCTCTCTCTCTCTCTCTCTCTCTCTCTTTCTCAGAGCGCTTGCCTACACTGTTTTTAGAAAAGACCGGGTGAGGCTTGACGTTTAGTGCTCGTCATTCCTACCAAAGAAATAAATCCCTTTGTTGCTAAATTACTTTAATTCGTCGGTCATTTGGGATTTTTATTCGGAATTTTTAACAAATTTTATTGTTCTCGATGCTTCGTGAATAAGCGTGAATAAGCCGGTCGTTTCGGTCATTTTTTAACAAACACTGGCTGTTTTGTCTGTTTCAGGTTTTAGAAGGAAAGCGTGGATGTTGCAGTAATGTAAGTAGAGACTTGATCCAATGTGAAATACCAAAAGGACGAATATCGTTGTTATTAATATTATACATTGTTATACAATTCACGACAGTGGTCGCGGGAGAGATTTAGAAGTACTATTTGTAGTTTTTGATTTTGCTACAGTTTGTTTAATGTTGGAACGAAATCATCACCAGTTAAAACTATTATCTCGGTTTTCAACGAAGCCACCAGTTAAAACTCGGTTTATTTCATTTCTTTCTCTAGACTTGACAAGTTTATTTGCAATTGGAATAACAAACGATTGAAATAGGAAATTACTACGATCGAATAGAAAGCTTAATTATTAAAGTTAATTAATAATACCCTTACCTTATCAAGAAAAAAAAAAGCACAGACAAAGAATTCAAATATAACCGACGCAAAGTTTCACCAAAGCATGCATGCTTCGTTTGATTTAATTCCACTAACTTTAAGAAGCCCAACCGAAATTTCAAACCAGACATAGCAAGTCTTTCGCAATCGAGTTTCTCTGTTTTAATTCACGGATCGCCTAATGCCGCCATTTGTTTCACCGTACATGCATCAATTGCAATTTTCATTTGCAGATCGAGCTCGTTAATCTCGGCATGATTTTTTAAGCTTGTTCCCCGGCTGTAATCGCGGTCTCGTATTTAATTCCAAGCGACGCGCAGGGGCCACTGTTTCGCGATAGCGAAGCACCGGCACGGCGATCGAATGAAAGGGGTGGCAATTTCCGGCGTGCGTAACGAGCGATCGAAAAGCCGTTGGCGCGTCGCGTTCCAACGTTTAATTAATAACGATTAATTCGGCCGATCGGGTTTCTCGGGGAGGCTTTTTCAAACGTACGTAAGGATTTAATTGGACGGTTGTATCGTACTTTACAAAGACGACGACGCGCGCGTTTCACTAGGGCGCAAGCAATTTAAATTCAATTTATTCCGGATCGAGGCGGCGCTGGAAAGTGGTCGCGTTATACCCTCGCGATAACGAAAAGGCTCGACTTCGATGCTTATCGCGGTGAAACGTACGGTTTGATAAGAGCCGGCCATTAGCTTGTTGATCGGCACGCGAGAGCCGTGTTCAATTAGCTCCCGTTATGA